GATCGAGTTGACCGAGTTGACCAGGGTAGTGGACCGAGTTGACCGAGTTGCCCCCACTCGTAGCCCTCCCTGATCCTTCGATCTGCCCCCACTCGTATCCCTCCCTGATCCTTCCATCTGCCCCCACTCGTAGCCCTCCCTGATCCTTCCATCAGCCCCCACTCGTAGCCCTCCCTGATCCTTCCATCTGCCCCCACTCGTAGCCCTCCCTGATCCTTCGATCTGCCCCCACTCGTAGCCCTCCCTGATCCTTCCATCTGCCCCCACTCGTAGCCCTCCCTGATCCTTCCTTCTGCCCCCACTAGTAGCCATACGAGTATTGATAAGTATTGATAAGTACACTAGAAGGACACCTAAGCATCATGATGCAGATAGCTATTTGAGTAGACTAGATAGATATTTGAGTAGAAATTAGTTTGATATGTTGCATTTTTGAAGAACTTGCCATACATTGTACCTGGTACTACTGTTGTGCAATAAAGTTTGACTTCTGTATAAGGTATGGGGTCGTTTTTTCAAACATGTTCGCCGCAAAAACGCATTGTTCTATACGTAGTATTTCTGTGTAATTCGGCATGTTGTGATGCACGTCTTTTTATTTTCACCCTATCAGTTTTGATATTGAAGTAAATGCATATTTTAGAAACATCCCTATAATGTTGTTGAATTGTTTTCGCCCGGCCGGTTGGTGCACCGGTGATAGCCCAGCGTGTGGCGTGCGGACCCGGTGTCAAGCCATATACATGATCCTGCCAAATACCTGACTCCGACACTACATGGGGGTTTCCAATATACCTGAGACAAGGGGTGGGAGACTAAAGATCACTAAACCTAACCTAACCCCAATCGTAAGTCTAACCCTAGCCCTGAACAATGATCCCAACTCTAACCCTAACTCTAATACCAACCCTAACCCTAACTCTAATACCAACTCTAACCCTAGCCCTAAACACCTGGCCTCTCACGTATATGGCAGCTCAAGGATTTGGCTCAACACCGGAACAGTTGCACGACGCAGCAGGCAGCGTACAAGTGGCGTGGGGCATGCTCAGGGGGATACTGTTCCTAGCCTAATCTGCAAAATATAAAACATCACGGAGGATTGTTGCCTATGACTGCTTGTTGTTTTTTTCCAATAGACCAAAACCTTCATGAGCAAAGACATTTAAACAGATGAGAATCACTTGACCCAGCAAAATCTCAGACGGATGACCGCTGAGACCTTGACTCCTTGCCAACCTTCCGTCAGTCTGTAACTAGTTATACACATTTCAAGGTTTAGCCTTGTCCATACACTTTATAGTAAACTTAGATAATAAGATGCCCTTAAGTGACCTAAGCCGGTAGGGTAAGGGTCGACATTAGACATGTTCTTTGACTATCAAATTCATATTGACTGAGGTGTTTATGGTTAACCTGGGACTGGAGTACAATGTCCTTGGGTTAACTGAGGACAGCCAAAGTTTCCTGATTCACGCCCGGTGGCAAGCGCCAATAGCCTGGCATGCCAGGCCCTGGCGCGACACGACTTCCTTCGGTCAGGGAAGCCACAAGGTCCGCCGAGTCCCAGAGTTGACTCCAAGTGTCTAATTTATCTTTCGCACCAAGGAGGTTTCAGTGAAGATAGTCTATGTGTGGTAAAATTTCCTTGGGTACAGGCTGGCCCTGAGCCAAGAAGCTGGCCTTCATGTCGCCTTAGCAACAAGCTGGCTACAATTGGCGTGATTGGTTCCGTACGGGCACTTCACTTTTGTGCGAACATGGACGGCTCGGCTCGCGTGGTTTTGGTGCTGTGCACCGCTGTGTGGACGCTTCCCGCCTCAGCTGAAGGGGCTGCCAGCCTGTCGTCCCTCGGCCTCCCCCTACCCGACATCCCGACAGGGTACGTGTACAAGAACGGTAACCCGCTGGCGCCCATTCAAGTCGAGATGTTCGGTGACCTGGTCTGTCCAGACTTCAGGAACGCTTTCCCCGTCTTAAAGGAAGTAGCGGACTGGTACGGACCGAACCTTTTGTGTCTGAAGATCCACCTCTTCCCGCTGCCGTACCACAAGTACGCCTTCTTGACTCACCAGGTTAGTACCGAGGAAAACCTTCAGGTCTTTCTTTACCAAGTTATTGAAGAAATGGTTGGCGAAGACTTGGGGTGTTGTTCACCTTTAAAGTCACTAGTGTCAACAACTTGAGACTGCCCAAGGCCGGCGCCGCTGAGAACGGAATGTTTTCCTTGTTGTTGGTTGCTTGATTTCTATCTTTCATATTCTATATCTTTCTCATTTTAGCTAGAGGGACGCGTACCGTCGTATTATCGTAACGTTACGTGAGACAAACCAGATACCAGATTTTCTTGGACCGTACCCATACAACAACAAAATGAGGGCGAACAACATCTCGATGCTATTGCTTACATGGTAAACAATGTAGAGGGTGCGTATTAGTGTTGGTGACATTTTCTAAAGAAACGACGAACAAACATGTCAAGTCACAATTGTAAGTCCGTAAGATCTGTTTGGTGATTACACTATTGACACTTACAGGTTCTACATATTATTGAGCCCTACGTCGGCATCAACGGTACGTTTGACTACATGGACCGCGTCCTGGCTGACCTGGAGAAGTTTTCTGGGGCTGTTATGAACAGGACGGAGGGACAGGTGTACAAGTAGGTCTGATTTTTCAACATACCTGTCCGTTTGGGAGACTGAATTTTCAAATATCACAATTCTTTTATAGAACTTTTAAAGAAAGTTCTATTATTTTATACAAAACAAGAAAATCCAAGACATTTTTCAAAATTATACCGTTATCGTGTTTAAGAAGGGATTGAATGTATGAAGGAATGAACAAACTAACGGACGGACGAATAAGTGAATGAACGAATGGATGAATGAACGAGTGGATGAATGAATGAACAAATGAATGGATGGATGGATAGCACATTGAGTAATAAACGAATTCGTAGGTCGTTAGGAATCAAAGAAAGCGAAGGGAGGCAAAATGAATGATGAATAAAGGACGGAATGACTACAAAAGACTACAATATTTTTTCTGCAGTGAGCTGTTGAGTATTGTCCAGACTCTCGGAGTGACCGCTGACCAGTACTGGACAGGGCTGGACGAGAGACCCCCAAACTACAGAGCAAGGATTGAGTTTAAATACGCCTGTCACCGTGAGTGGACGATTTTTCTGTATACCAGGACCAGTGCTGCATGATGCAACCTTCAAAACATCCGTATAGTGAGATTACTTTTTAGCCTGGAGTTAACGGAATGTTAACAAGAGTAGCTAGAGTATTGTTTAAATTTGTTTGTTTGGGTCTCCATTAGTGTGCCAAATCACACTATTCTTCTTGGAGTCCTGGTGATGATGCAATCACCGTGTGGCTAACAAGACGGGGGTTCACCAGGCCTCCATTCGGGTGATTTGAAGTGTATCCGACTTCCAGTTAGTAGTACAAATGTATTTGGGACATCGCACACCGGGGCCCCAATTCCTTCATTCTACGTATACGTTGAAATATTGGTTGCTAAAAAACTAGATAATACATTCTCTAGTACGTGTCATTCTGAATTTTTGTCTCAACTTATGTTGACTTGCAATAATGCTATATCATTGATAGGGGGCGTGGCCGCAACGCCCACATATTTCGTCAACGGCATCATGGTAAACCCAGTCCCGGCATCAGCGGGCGGAGAGTTCGGCCTGGACCAATGGAAAGAGGCGTTAGACCCGATGTTGGGCACTGAAGAACAGAAACAAGAGAAGGAACAGTTGGTGGGTACCTAAACTTAAGCTGTACAGTCACAAAACTTTTTTTCAATTAGTTTGAAAGAATATTTGGAAAGATGTTGACGGCATACGTGCTGTCGACGTCGTTCAGCAAGTAAATGTACGTCAATTGTTGCTCATACATTAGGATTTCATATAAGTACATTGTCGTCGCAACACATTGCATGACTACAAGTATTTTTTGTATATAATCTCCAAGCAGATGTCTGGCGGCTGAAACGTTAGAACTGGCCATCTAGCTAGAGAGAGTCCTCAGTCGCGTCGGCAAATGGTAACTGTCTGGCCAATTTGATACCGTCTCTGCAGTCACCGAAAGATCTACTTGGAGATTATTTTTATAGCCATGTCGGTGTTTTCTGCATCTCCGTAAGATATTTTTCTCTCATTTTTTTTCTGCTGCTTGCCCACAGGCGGCTGACGGTTTCAGCTATGGCACCTGTCCCACTAAGACCGCCCAGGCCCAGGGGACGTGCCCCGGTATCACCGACGGGACCAGTGCGGGAACAAATCCATCCCCCGTGTCTACTACTGTATTAACCCTGTTAGCTGTTTTCTCACTGAGTGGGGCATATACATGTATGTGAACTATAGTGTAAGACAAAAAAACATAAATGTTCCCCTTCAAAACAAATGTTGAAAATTGTATTGTTCTTTCCCCAGTTTGAAGACGCTTTGTTGAATCACAATCACTTTTTTGATGGGCTGAGTGCACATGGCTTAATTCCTGGGAAAGTCCAATACGAAAACAAGTCTACGCCTTCCAATAGTTAATCATTGATCAAGGTTCAGTAATGTACACTCTCAAGTCCTATTTACAGTTTGTGTACATACGCTATACTCCTGGTTTCGGCAAAGCTGTACATTCTTTGAAGTATCGATATCGAGAATTAGTAGTATAGCATGCAAAGATAGACCTGTAGGCATTGCATTGATCCATTGGAATAAAAAAGACTACGTCACACACAACGCCACAGTACAAGTAAGTGGTACACGTGTACCTCAGAAGTGTGACTAAGCCCTATCCGTTTTCATCTCTGTCATTTACTAACCATTGTTTGAGGTGTCTAGTACTAGTAGCCTTATTCTACTGACAGCATATGCATTAGTCTTACATTTCCCATATCAGCGCGTGTGTATGTTAGCACATGCAAAACAAAATGTACACCATATAAAATTGGAAACACAGTGTAATATGATATACACAATTCGTAATTTGCTATACACAATTCATTCAAACAAGCTAGAATATTTGACAATCAATCAATGTCTACATACATACAATATACACATATAATTCTTACTCTTTAACGACATCCAGTATTCTTTATCAATCATCATTTCTGTCAGGTCTTTATCGCTAAAATAATCAATGTCTACTGATCCTAAATTTCCCTTTCCCTAGTTCCCTAAAGAAGTGCTTCAGTCTGTTGCGCAGTTGTTTCCCGGTATATGGGTGCCGTCGCCCGGCCCCACATAGTTGGCACGTTGACAGTGTCTAACAGAGTTGGCGCCTTCTTGGCTTTCTCGACCCTGGCCTGGATCCACTGGCAGTTGTTGACCGTGACGCAGCTGTGTGCCCGGCGGATGTGGTTGGGCTGGATGCCGAGGATCTCCCAGCTGTCCACCGCCGGGTCGTAGTACTCAAAAGCCGGGGTCAGGTACGCCGCCTCGAAGGTGTCCCTTCCACCGGTGATGATGATTCCGTCCCCTAGCGTCGTCATGCCGCACTGCAGGTGGCTGTTCTTCGGGGCGGGGACTTTGAGGTAGTCCATGAGGTCGACGTCGTAGGCACACATGGTGAAGAACCTGCCTAATATGGGCATCATGTAGATCTTACTACCGAGGCCGATGGCCTGGTACTGCCTCTTCCCGCCGTGGTACGAGCTCACCGACTCCACGTCCCACGTGTCGCTCCCAGGATCGTAACACTGCACCTCCATCGCACGCTCCTGCGGGTCGTCTCCTTCGTAACCAAAGACGAACAACTTCCCCCTGCAGACCGCTGTTGCGATTTTCCTCACAGATTTGAGGATTCTCCGCAGTTTGTTCCACGTGTTCGTACTGGGGTCGTAAGCCTCGAAACAGTCTTCGTAACTTGATACCTGCATCATGTCTCCGATGGCGTAGACGCGACCGTGCAGCGTCTCGAGGCGCACGCGCCCCTGGTGCGGGAGGAGAGGGTCGGGCAGCCGGTACCAAACGTTCGTCTGCGTCGCGAAACGCCAAAACTCGGACCGCCCCTTGTCGTCGAAGGTCGCCAAGATGTAGATGTCGTTGTCCCAGGCTGAGACGGCGTGGCAGCAGTACTTGATTCTGTCGGGGATGGATGAGATGATGGCCCAACACCTACTCTCCGGCTCCAGGACGTCAATATGGCTGACTTTGTCACTCTGACAGCCCGGCTGTTCTCCTCCACTGATCCCTCCTACCTGTACTACAACCTGTATAACACATAAGTAGCACACAACATGAACACCATAAATATTTTTATTTTATAATCATCTACCTTCTTATTACTTTTTACGTCTTTCAATGGCAATTCAACACAGACGTCAGACCATTTTAAACTTATCAAATTGCGATTGCGTTACATGCTTACAAATATGACATGCTTACCTGTGTTTATAATTGGTAATGATTTACGGCCAACATAAAATTCAATAAAAGCAAAAAATTAGTAAATTAGCAAAATAGCGTTAAAAGTAGACAGTAAAAAATTACCTGAGTTGAAAAGGTTTTCTTCTTATGTTCACTGATTTCGTTTTCTACCTTCGCCACTTCCTCCATGGCTTCCTTCGACCTCACAACTACCGCCGAAGTCTTCACTGTGTTCTCCAGGTATCCCTTATTCATCAGTCTTAGTTTCATTTTCTTCAGTAGTTGTGGAAGGTGCTCCTTGAGACCCGTCTCGTCCGGTCTTACCCACTTCAAGACGGCCTCGAAGACGGTTTCCCTCCCCCATCTGCAGGCCCTGTCTGTCACTATGCTCTCCATGTCATCTAGAGTCAACTGCCGGAAGTCTTCCGAACACGAGACTTGTGGCAGGTTCTCTAAGATGTACGCTCGTGCCTCTTCAGCGAGTTTCTTGCGCGTGTAGAGATCGGCGAACTTCATGATCCCGACCGAGTTTTCCACGTCCAGTTGCCGGCGGAGGAACTCGCAGCAGGCCTTGGCGAGCGGCATGAGCTGGAAGATGGAGCTGGCGTGCATCAGTGTCTCCACGTTCTTACTGGTAATGGTGATCTCCCCGGAGTACGCGTAGTCCATGATCTCATTCACGATCGGAGCCGAGACGTCCCGAAGCCAGATGTAGTCGTTCTTGCTCTCCACGAAGTCTCCGAAGAGCATCAGCTCGAAGTAGTTACTGAAGGCCGCGAGGACCATCCTGTGGCACGGGATGTCCAGCTTCCCGACTTTCACGGTCAAGTCGCAGAACTTTCCCGCCAGACGCAAGTTCCGTATCTTCTTGAACACGTCCTCGCACTCGTAGTCGTAGATGAGGGACTCGCTTTTGAAGACCTTCGCGCATCCGCGCTCGGTGAGGTGGCATGTCAGGTCGGTGGGCCCGGCTTTGGTGTTGACGAGTCGGCGCAGGCCCTCAGCCAGGGTCCGGGAGTGGATTTTGTCCGTGAACTTGAGGTTCCCGCTTTCATCCGTGGCGTAGTCGACGTCAGCGCTGATGAAGGGTGGGGCTGGGGTGTCTTGGGCCCAGGGCTAGAAATATTGAGAGAAAAAGAAAGAGAAAATACAAAGGAAAATTAAAATTGACCGTCATGATAGCAGATCAATGTTTCAGAGAATGTTTTGCATTCTAAAAGATAAATGTATATGAAGATGATATTCACCCGTAAGCCTAAGGGAATACCGAGATGGGGACAGGGCGCTCCGGTAAACTCGTCTGTCTGTCCAGACCGCTGACCGCCTGACACGGACAACATCGGCTGAAGCACAAAATCCGTGAATTACCTTTTTTTTCTAATTTTCATAAATTCCGAGAAATGTATCCAGAGCAATCCGACCATCATCTGATTTGAGAGTACAAAAGCCAAGCATGTGATTGCGAGAAATACACGTGAACACAGCTTATATTAACTAGCGTGCCACAAGGTAAAATACTGGGACCACTTACCCCGACCAACGCTCCTAACAATGAAGGATCTACTACATTCTCGGCCTGGAAGTAAGCAGCCATCTCACTATCTGCAAAATACAGTAGACTTCTGTTAAGGTAAGAACTTCTCTCATCAAGTTTCCGAACTTCATACAGCAAATAAAGTAGAATTGAGCTCAAGAATACTATCCCCAAATTTGATTACATTCAAGCCTTATATTACAGATTGTTGTTGAGTGTAAGGTGAAGTTTCTCACACCGACTGAAGTGTCTACTTCCTTCTACGTCATTTATATCTATACATTTTATTTTTATCGTAACCAGCCAGTCCCTGTTGACATATCTTACCTTGTGAGGACACGTTACATAATCTAGGGTGGACAAAGATTCTGACAAAAAGCACGTTCAGGTCTTAAAATCAAACATAAATTCGCTGATGTTTCAACCATTGATCTTAACTGTTTATGTATTAGGAAAGAAACAGTCCAAAACTGATGTACCAAGAATGTGCTGTAGGATTTGAAGTTCCGATTTGGTGCGCGTGCGTGTCGTTAAAAGAAAATAAAGCGCTCCAGATTAAAACCTTTCCCGTCATCTGAGGGGTTCAGACTTCAAACGCACACCATGAGGCAGGCTATATCTGATGAGATTTCAACGTGGTGTCCTGTGGAGCTCTCATGTCACGCGGATGGACTTGGACGTGCTGCCATGTTGGATCAATGCCACGTGCACTGATGCAGCATTCACGGCAGTAGCCTCTAGCAGGCTTCGGTAGTTGGCCAAATAGAGAGATAACATGCCAGGGGAGTTGGTCCGGTACAGTTTTCGGGCGCGGCAAACTGTACTCTCCAGCGGACCAACTACTCTCATCCAAGCAGAGGTTTGGAACATTTATGATGTGCTGCATGTTCCCAGCCTAGCGGAAACACATATCTATAGCAAACCGGCCCATTGCGCACGCGCATTCGTGATTTCCGGAAGTTGCCCAGGCTTTCAATGTATATGATATCGTGATGGATTACAATTTACAACATACGTGTATCAGAAAAGATTATATACCAACAATATCAGTCTAAAACATTCTCAGATGAAAATAGAAAACCAGAGTTAAGGATACACCCTTACTAAAGGTGCAACCGTACCTTTGAAGCAAACCAAATTGTCAAGCTACATCACAGTACATGCTGGTTTAGTACACTGTTATGCATTTACAAGGACTTACTTTCTGTGTTGACCTTGTCAATACAGCTTCATGTGCACCCAAACGACGCTCCCTCTGCCCGAGTCACTGGTCTAAAGTCTGGAATGATGCATCAGTTATTTCACTTGAAAATCATATCACAATCTTCTGCATAAGAGACGACCGGCTCAGCTGCGAATGGGCCGCCACCTTGTTTAGGGGACGGGGCTAAATTTAGCCAGGAGAATGTTTGCAATTCGAGCTCTGCACAAACATTTAGGAACGTGAAGGGCTGGAGATTACTACTATATTATGTCTTCCCTTTTGCAACTGACGGGATTCGGTATATAAAATAGGTGCCAGATGTACAACACAAAAGGCACTAGATGTAGCGTATGTGTCATTCTTACCCTGTAGATGTTTGAGGTTGTCTCGAGGCCAACAGCTGAACTGAGTGGACTACAAATAACAACGCTGCCTCTGATTATCTGTATCTGTATAGCCGTCCCTTGTGGGGTCGTGTGGCGCAGTCGGTAGCGCGTTCGGCTCACACCCCAGAGGTTGCGGGTTCGAACCCCACCTTGTGCACCGATCTTGTGCCCTTGGGAAAGGCACTTTACACGACTTTCCTCACTTCACTCAGGTGTAAATGAGTACCTAGCTTCGGTTAGGGACGTCCCTCGGATAGGACGTAAACTGGAGGTCCCGTGTTTGAGGAGAGCCACACCTCGAGCACGTTAAAGATCCCACCACACCTTTCGAAAAAGAGTAGGGGCATGCCCCGGTGTGCGATGGTACAAACACTACTGTATGGAGTTGGTGATTCACTTCAAATCACCCGGACAGAGGCCTGGCGACCTCCGTCTTGTATAAGCCACATGGTGATTAACATCGGCATTCACCCGGACGGAGGCGTGGCGAACCCCGTCTGTATCAGCCAAAATCTTGGAGAGGAGATAGGCGCCGCCAAGATTATAAGCCTACTGAAACATCATGGCGCAAGTCCAGACATGCTGCTGGCTGCCATGATGCCCCTACGACCGTTCACGGTTATGGGTCTACATACATACATACATAGCCGTCCCTCGGCTTAACACACCAGCTTCGCGGGCACGTGGCGCGGCGGCAGCTGGCTATATTACACCGAACGACTTGTTACACCAAGGCTATGAACATCTAAATATTGTTTCAAGATATCAAGTGAGGATGCCCCTACTGTATTTGGTGGCAGCGAGTTACTTGTACTCTACGATAGTTCTAGGGCAAAGAAACGAGTTTCTGAACACCTTAACCCTTGGTTGATAACTCTGGTAGTGAAGGTATGACTATTTCTTGTTCTTTCCTAAGCTGGTATTAGGTACTTGATAGTTGGTACGTATGTCTGCCTTTCAGTGACAATCACTAGGTTTCTTTTAATTTCCGTTACACTATCACCCCTTTCATGCAATTAATACAGATTGTTAATGGCCTTACGACACAGTACTGCGATAGTTAACTGAAAAAGCGATCCTATTCTATGTAAGAAGGAACAGGAGAAACCACACAGCATCGTACATGAATAACTTATTTTATTGACTCTACAAATCACGTGGAAAAGTAGAAACCCATCGTGGTGGGGGGGTAAACCTCGCCACCACGGGCGGGAGGCTACGGTCGGTACGGCCGCCTGGCTCGCTCGCTGGACCCCACACTGACATCGGACAGCAGCCACCACGAACGATATTCAGACCAGTCTCCTGCCCCAAAGTAGAACATTTATCGTAACACATTGAGAGTGGACATTTGGAGAAATAATATACATCTTTTCGTGTCCCACTATTTTTTTTTCTATGTACAAAGCTAGGGCACGACGCATGCTCGGCAGCTCGACTTATGTTCGCTGCATCTTGTGCAACAGAATCCTATCATTGAAGCAAAAATTCTTAAATTAATTAAGTTTCACATGCTCTTGAACCAACATATTGTACAAAATTTTGCAGCCTTCCATTCCGAGGCACAAATTATAAAACAATACCTTACACAGCATGGGAGAAATTAGATGATATTCAAGTCATTAATTAAGTAGCACTGGGTGGCATCATCAGAGACATAGGGACCAAATATATGGCAATCATTTTTTACAGTAACTAAATTCATAAAAACGTAGCTTTCTGACAAGTCTTGACAGAAAAATCTCCTGTTGCCATAGTAACGGTCCTTTCCCGTCCCTTGACTGCGTCCCTGAAGGTTTTGCCATTTTTTTTGTACAAGTACACAGTGTACATACATAAAATTAGTCATCTGGCTGTCCTCAGACACAAACAATAATTTATTAAAGTCTTCCATTTGTATAAAATAGATTTACAAGAATCTGGTCTGGTACATACATGGTACTATGTAGATATAATATACATATATTTATAGATATATATATTTTGCAGGTAGTGTATACACACACAGTACATTTTCATTACTTAGGCATCTAAGAGAGAGCAAAGGCAGTATCATCAAGAACACATCGTACACAGACACTTATATTCAGGTCACAAAAATATCACGGTACATACAAAATTCACCAATGTCAACTGCCAGGGTCGGCAATTTTTGAGAGCACTGTGCAGTACAGTTGAGTGATCGAAGGGGACTCACAAAAATATACCAATTTATTTACATGGATTTTGACTCGACGTGCAAACTCTGCGATCTGTAAGCTTTGGTCATCATGGATCTGCACCCACCCACTACCACCGATTTTGGTACGTTCCTCCAAGCTAAGAAAGTGGCAACCCGGACTGCTCCATTTAGCCAACAGGGGAAGCATACTGGCCTTCCAAAGATTCATACCGGTAAGTACAAAAAGCAACAAATACAGACATGTCCCTCAACTGTAGTTTTGCCTTTCTCTGCAGTCTTACAACTAAGGAATTAAAAAGAATCCTAATACAATGGAAGATTGAGGATGAAAAAATATGTGCTGCAAGTTTCGAGATGTTAGTCAAAACCAATTTTATCTTTGCCTTCTTTAAACAAGTTTACATCTGAAACTGTGAAAGAAAAGAGCAGGATCTACTGTATATTTTAGCTAACAAAGCATTTACATAAAAAGGAAAGCAATTTTAAATGTCTCATCAACAATTTGGAAGAATTCATTTGACGGGTACTTAGTACCGAGAGAGTGGTCATGTTTTCAATGATAGCTATGTTGTACTTCGTAAGAGTTGACCTTAAAAAATTAAACCAAATGGTGAGAATTTGAGGTAACTTCATTTGCTAAATTTCATGATAAAGGCAGTAGTAATCAAGGATGAAATTAATTTTGAAGATAAAAAAGGTCTACAGCAGTTGAAAGAATTTGTGGAACCTAAACTAGTCTTAACAAAATACTGAGCATGAATTCATTATTGAATGTTTGAGAGTGGGTCGTGGCAGCAACTTAAAAACACTGAATTCTCATTCTCTAAACCTGCGACAATCACAACATTGTCCATTTCATGGACTGCTGCTGCTCTCCCTTTCAACACACACAAAAAAAAACATGCATGTACAGACAGACATGAGATGTTCAGGTTTGCCTTCGGAAATTAGTTTTATCTGGTTAGTACAGCATAGGGTATTACAGTTTCTTTTTACAGAACTGGTATTGACTCTTACCTGCTTATGTTTTGCTAGAAAACTTTTGCCACGTTTGGGATTGTGTTCTAGCAGCAAAAGCACCACCTTCATCGGATACATAAACTGCTAGCGGCGAGAAGCAGTACTCCAGGCAGAAGCTCTGACGAAGGTGTCTGATAGACATTGAAATGTAAGCAAGTGAGAGTCTATACTTTGGTTTGGGTTATGTTGGTTAGGGTGAAAAGAAACCCTAATACCCATATGCTCATGTTTGATCGAGAGGGAATACTGAATTGTTAGTTGTTCTTTGGAATTGCAGATGACAGAAACAGAAATATGAAGTACTACTGAAAAGTTATTGTAACCGCCGACTTTGTATCGGCACCTTGTCAAAAACGGAACTTTCTCTGGGCAGATACTATTGCTCATTTCATTTTCATTTGCAGCACTTGCCTCAGAAGTAACCAGCCAAAAAAGAATTTGTGTCAACTGAGAAAACTTATCACCTTTCCTAAGATGAAACAAGTACTGTATCATTGTCTAAGTGAGAAAAAATTGTGGCAGATGCTCTACTGTTTTGCCAATTCCACAACAAAAATCACCAAAAATAGCGAGTGGTGGGAAAACTGCACCAGAAAACTGTACTACCTTCACCCCAGTTGCTATAGTAACGGGCATCACCATGACGACCAGCTGTAAACAGATACACACAGCATCATGTTCTGTTTCGAAGGAAACAAGTTTTGCGTCCAAAAAATTGCTATGAGAAAAAAGTCTGTCTCAGGATGCCTTGGAAGCCACGGTTGCTATGGATACCGTTGTCATAGCTACTGTTACGTCAACAGTGTTGCCATGGTGTTGTAGAGCTTGGTCAGCACCACCATGTGCACGGGGAGGCAAGAGCGGCGGTCCCTCCTCACGGGGTCGTAGGTCAACCAGGACAAAGCATTGTAGCTTTCCAAAACATACCTGGGTGGGGAAACAAAAATCGGTATTAAAACACAGTATCTTTGGCCATCTACAATGTATACCATAACCACACTATAACACTCTCACAGTCAACTCTACAAAAATGTACGTACCACCAATCAACTCTACCAAAAATGTACACTTCTTAATATGTTCTTTACATAATGTTCTTTAAAGCTGTCTGTAATAATACATGTACTTTCAACCACAAGTTTGGTGCTTATACATGTACAGATACTTATAATATGTTAGACACTGTCAGTCAGTCTCAAAAGACTATGACTAAGACCGCACAACAACAGGGTGGTAAGGTTCCTTTACAAATTGAACTTCTTCAATGTTTAAAGGACAAGTTATGGGGCCTGCTTGGTAGCACTGGCAGCGTGTCGGCATGCATGTTTGTTAGACTATACTATCTGAAATTGTTGTTCTTTAACAAAGCTTTAGTCAATGAAGGGTCAATGAATATGAACATTTTAAATCTACATGTGAAGATTAAGTTGGCACACTGACCTGAGTACATCACATGTAAGGTTGGAGTCCAGGGGGTGGGAGTGTCGAGACTGGAGGATCTCTTCAGAGTTCTGCTGTACAGCCGGGGTGTGCACATGGAGCGCAGACTGAAAATACAAACATATGGTGATTGGCCTTGCATGAGGACACTCGCTAGAGGATAAGTAAGCAAGTAAAAAAATCTCCTAAAATCAAAATAGGGAAATTTTTCCAGATGTTAGTGTGACTCACCTTGAGGTACACTGGACAGATGCCCTCAGCGTGAGGACAGGATGACCAGAAGGACTTGGGCATGTCTCCGATGGGGGCTGTGGAGATGAAGTAGCCCAGGGCCAGGGGCTGCTGCAGAAGCATGGGGATCTCATCCGGGTCAGGCAGGGGCTGGGAGGAAGACGTCTGGGGAGAACATGGAAGATATCAGCATCATTAATATTATAAATCATAAAATTTTATACCTAATGTCCTCCTAACCACATCAAGTCCTGTGGCTGAGAGACTTATTTTCAACATTTTTCCAGTGGTCTTTTACCTAGTTTAACAAACTACTGCTCTATTTATTCTTACTCAAACACATTCATTATATAATACATGGTGAGCAGCCCCTCCAGCTCTCTCCTGCTACAAAATGTAAGTTTGTGACCCAACACCACTGAGTGTCTGCTACAGCACCAGTTACCATGGTGACAGACGTCTGGTCCAGGTCATTGACTTTATTTGTGTGGAGAAGAGGAGGAACAAGAAACAGAGCAAAAACAATGTTTTCCTTCTTTAAACATTAAAATTTTTTAAAATTGTCATTTTGTGATATTCCTACTTACTTTCCCGCTGCCGTCCCCTCCCCCTGAGTAAGGGTTAGACTGCCCCCCGCCGGAGAAGCCCCCTCCTGTGGGGGACTGCGGGGAGTGGACCGGAGACGTCAGCGCGGTCGGGGAGGCCGCCAGGCCCAGGAACTGGTTCAGGTCCGAGTCACCCAGGTCCTCTTGCAGCACAGGGAGAAGGTCATCATCACCCAACATGTCACCTGTAACGGTACAACAGTTACTACAACTTCCGAAAAAAGTTTCATCCGGTTGGCAAACTATAGGGTACTGGAGTCTTCTTTTACACAACCAAAATTTTCTCACCTAAGTGATGATGTTTTGTTTTTATAGTGGCGAGAATCAGAACTCAAGTCAGTACACCAAAACATCAGCATTTAGGTGAGAAATTTTGGTTGTGTAAAAGAAAACTCCAGTATCAGTTACTACAACTGTAAGTTCTCTTTGATGCACATTTTGTATCTAACACCATCCCATTCTTGTACTTCTTTCTGTCAGGTAGTTTTTCTGTGAGTAAACATTTTTAAAGAGGCACCAAACACTGAGCGAAACATGCTCTTTCAAATGACATTATTTAACAATGCTTTCAAAACAGATGCCTAGAAAAGTCACAATAAAAGACCAGGGATTACACAGGGATCAAATTTTCAACAGCCACTCTTGCCTTCATCTGGACAATTAATGACCATCACTTCCGTACATAAATCCACGAATGTTCAAGACACGTGACCTTATTCACGCGAGACTTTACGGGTACGTGATGTAAGCAATTATATCCCATGATAATGCCACCCACCTGAGTTGCCAGCGAAGCCGAGGTCCATGGTCTCGGTGATGTTGAAGTTGGCTGCAGCTGCCTGGGTGGTAGCGGACGTGGGGAAGGCCATGAGGTGTGTACAGGACGCGTCTCGCGGGGTGCTGAGCTGAGAACCCAGCAGTCCGCCTGGCCTGGCACCCGGAGCTGAGCCTGACATCACTGACTCTGTAGGGGGGAAGAGAAGGGGGTGAGATTTCTCGGACAAGGCTCAAAATCCTTTTTTCCAAATACCACCTGCACTGGTGCAAGTAGCACTGGAAAATAACCTCCACGTGACAAATTTTAACTGCACTATACCTGCCTATACTACTCTGCATGAAAAAAAAAAAGATTTTGTGAAGTATGTATCAAACCGTTTATTTTCTTCACTTAGCATTTCACAGGTGGTAACAACAAACCAAGCCATCAGTACAGTAAACAAAATGTCCTCAAATACAGTACCCAGGACTGGCATGGTTAAGGTTAGGTGTATCTAGACATTAGAAATACCTGCAGAGCTCCAATTTTACTCAGTACACTTTTACCTGCATGTGAATTATTTCGAGCCCTGATAATGTTCAAGAGAAACAAATAAACTGGTTTCGTCTAACGGATATACCAAGAAACACGTGACGACACGTACCGTGGAAGATCCTGAGCGCGCTCTCGGGCTCCAGCGACACCATGCAGGCAGAGAGGATTGTGGGACAGTCGCACTGCGGGGACATGGAGCACATACGGCACACCTCCTTCAGGTTCCTGCTGGACTTCAGGATCCGCTGCCGGCTCAACAGGCTGCTCCAGTCTACAGGACACACACAAACACTGATGTTATAACATCTTTGAAAAAAACCATTGTCATTAATGCAGTAGGAGCCACCTTGTTACATAGTTTTAAAGGCATCCAATGCAATTTGAGGGCTGCAAAGCTGCATTTTCAAAGTAAATTTTCTGGTCATCCTTTTAATGTAGCATTGTAGTTGCTGTAATGAATCAACCCTATCCAACAGCATACTGATATCTGTGAGACAAAATTGCAATGTCTCAATGCAATGACAGAAAACGGTTGGTTGGTTCAAGCTATTTATGGGTGGTACCCAAAAAATAAAAGAGATGCCTCATGTTTTGGGGTTATTTCAAATGCTTCAAGTATAAAATGATGACGAAAATGTGCTAAGAAAGGGCAGTAAGTGCCAACATCAGACAGATTTCCTCATTCAAAACATTTTTTATTTTGCCATCCTAAAATTGCATTTTAAACAACACTTCGTGGGAGTTAGGTACGCAGGGACAATTTGTGATAACTTGTATACTGTAACACTAACAGAGCCAGAAGCCTCTACTTCCCTGCAAAGCTGTAAAATAAAAATGTTGAAATTCCAAACAACTTTCTAACCAGTAGAACTGGACCTACCTTTGAGCTCGCCGTGGCCGATCCTGCCCAGTTTGCCGATGACGATCCTCCAGGGGAAGGTGGTGGTGGCGATGACAGACAGGACAAACTCCCACAGCTTCTGTAGACCCATCCTGCACGCTGTCACCTTACGGGGCTTCGGACTGCAGAGGAAGGAGTACAACTCAATGGTCAGAATGACAAATTGACATAACAAAGTTGGCAGATACTGATAAGTTTTGTGTGTCTGGATGAATCCTATGAAGGCATCTTCTTCCATGAGAGATACCATATTGAGTATGGTAAAATCCTAATAAATATCAGTTCTACATGTATATCTTTAGATATGGCTGAAAAGTCCTATACAAGAATTAAAGTCTCTGCCACATAGAACACATCTGTAAGCTGACTCAGGTCTGTTGCAGTGTTCTTCTCTTCTGCAGAGTGCATCAGTCTAGCTTCCCTTATGAGAGATACACTGCACCTATATTGTACATGTGCAATTAAAGCATGGCATCAGCTGTAAGTCTACACTTATCTGTAACACAGACATTAGAATGACAGCTTTTTCAGCCAACAACCTATCTATACTGATCTGTTCCAGTTCTTTCCCTCCTCACCTGATGGGAGCCTCCACGCTGATGACCACGGTGTCCAACAGTTCTCCCCGCAGGTCCGTGACCGTGGCCAGCAGCCAGCGCTGGTCCGACGACAGGCAGTACGCGCAGAACAGGACCCCCGACTTGGGCGTCAGCTCGCCAAACGACTCCACCAGCTCCGTCTGTTTGTCCTTCTGCGGTGCCAGGATGTATGGCGGAGTGTACAGGTGCAGCACATCCGTCTATGTGGGGGAGAATAAAAAAAATGTTAATGTAATTGGAAATGAATCAAGAGACCTCTAGCACAATGTACCATAACTGCAGAGCTCATTTCATGCAGAGATGTACAATGTTCCATTGATCATATCAAGGAGGGCAGCCACTATATCCAGTATGTATCCTGAAGAAGTTATGTTTTAACAATATTACAAGCCTACACATCACAGTAAGTAACGGAAGTCAAATCTTTAGTTCTCTCACCAAAAGAGACCTCTAGCAGAATATAACATAACTGCAGAGCTCATTAAACATTTCATACAGGCGTAGTGCCATGTTTAACTGATCAGATCATGACAAGGACCATGACTATGTCCAGTACACATCTGTTATGTTTTAACAATATTACAAGCCTAGACATTACAGTAAGCAACAGTAGTCAAACCTATAGTTCTCTCACCTCTTTTGACTTGAGGATGGCTTCGTTCTGTGCTGAGGGGCCGAACCCTGTGACAGACTTGGCGTGGATGGTGAACTGTAGCGTCCTGTGGCTCTGGGTGAAGACGGAGAAGGCCAGGGTCTTCAGGTGCTGCAGGTACGTCGCTCGCTCCTCCGCCTTCTGCGGCTGGACCAGCTGCTGTACGGGGATGATCTGAGGAGGGACATGGAACATTGGTGTTAAAGGCATCCAACGCAATTTCAGGGCAGCAAGACTGGATCAAAGCAAACTTTCTGAATCAATCCTATCCCATATCATACTGATATCTGTGAGGCAAAAATGTGATGTCTGACAAAAAACAGTTGCTTGTAATGTTTCTTAGTAAATTCCTACTGTAGTCTGGTTCCAGCTATTCATCTGTTTCTAGATCTTTATAGCCACATTGTTTTGCTCAGTGACCAATATGATACTGGAATTGACAACTATAGCTGAGACACCTAGCAACACACAGCAGAACTACAGGTTAATGAAATATTTGGAGATGACTATCTGAGGCAGCCACTAAAATGCTTGCAAAGCCCTCTTCTTTATCATATATGCATATAAGCCTTACTAGATGCAAATGTGCATCTTAATGTGCTGCAGTTCTCTCACAATCACCACTGCTTCAGACGTTCTACTGAGCTACATAATTGTTGGGAAAAAAGGTCCTTCATGTAAAACAGGCCTTATCTTCTAGACATGACGTCAGCCATATTCAACAGAGTCCTCTAGCAGAATATAACATAACTGCAGAACACATCTAACATTTCACACAAGCCTGTCACCACACCCAATATTGATCCATATTGCAAATCTAATTGTTGGATTAAAAATACTGACAAATTGTAAAAAAATATTGACAGAAAAATCTGTGCCTTGGTTCATATGGTATCAGAGATAAAATATATAAGTCAAGGTTTTCCCTTAGGCCACTATATCTATCTTACTGAATTTTGACATGAAAATGTCAGAAAACAATAAAAATCACATTTGTAATTGGTACAACCTAAGGATACTTCAGTGGAAGATGATATCAATTCTGTACTGTACATTTTTAACTCAATACTGCCCTCCTCCCTTCTCTAGCTGTGCCAATAGTGTGTTGTATAAAAAGGGCTATCTATCTTAAGCCATTCTAATTCAAAATGCATGGTTACAATCATCCACTGCAACCTTCCGCCCTGCACTTATTTGACATACATCATTCTCCGCAAAGTCAATTACGATGATAAGAGGCGAATGTGACAGTTTCCTCACAACGCTACACAATCTGTGTTCCCAGGCCGGTGATTGTCCCAAATACATCTGACAGCCGACATTAATATCCACCCTCCCGCGACCCACATTCATTTCCAGTGGGCTCCGAGAAGCATCATCTTTCTGACCTTCGCTTCAACTGTACTCAAGCTAGCATCGCCGCCACTCAGAACGCCATCAAAGCACTTTGTAGAAAAACCCCTGGGCAGCCTCCGTGAGCCGTTTTACATTTGTGTAAAAAATGGTGTTTTCTAAAAATAACTGCTATTAATCCAGTTTTACTGCGTACCTTTTCTCACTGATAACCACAAATCTGCTGTTTTTCAGATACTGTAATTAATTTCTTTTTATACTTACACGTTCGCCGCTTTCGCTGTCACTTCTGTAGCACAAACTTATCATTACCATTAACAAATAATCTGCAGACTTTCTTTTTTCTGCGCCTTCCGCAAACATACAGTTCTGCCAACATGACCATTTTTCTCAGACCGCAAACATAAAGTGGAATACAGTATGCACGTAATCTTTCATGTATGATCAAGTAGAAACGTCGGTGTGATACCAAGTAGAAACAATTGTGTGATAGTAAGTAGAAACAATGGTGTGATACCAAGTAGAAACGTTGGTGTGATACCAAGTAGAAATGTTGCAGTGATACCGAGTAGAAACGTTGGTGTGATACCAAGCAGAAATGTTGGTGTGATACCAAATAGAAATGTCGGTGTGATACCATGTAGAAACGCCGGTGAGATACCAAGTAGAAAATTCGGTGAGATACCAAGTAGAAACGTCTGTGTGATACCAACCTGCAGACTGATGTTGTTCCTGACGTTGTTCATGACGTTGTCGGCCTGTAGGATCTCGGTGTAACACTTGAGCAGCCCGAGTGTGTACACGTCCGTGAGGTGGCCGTTCTCCGGCCCCATGCTGAACGGGTCCACGATGTACACCACCACCGCGAGCGGCTGCGCTTCCTCGTCCACTTCCTCGGGCGCGCTGTCCTTGTTTTCCTTGTTCTGCCCGCCTTCTGTGTTCTCGCCTCCGGTGTTGTTCGGGTCCTTGGGAGACTCCCCCTCCTTTCCCTCCCCACTGGAGGGGGGTGGGGGTACGGAGGGGGGTTTGTCTGTGTTCCCTCCGGAGGAAGATGTACCCGTGGTACTGTTGTTGGTGTTGTTGGAGGTAACAGAGTTCTTTCCAGGTGTCGGCACTGCCTTCAGGAGCGATGTGTCCAACGTGACAGTAGCCAAGTGGGCAGCTGTACGGAGACATGTGTCATTAGTGAACAAAAGCATGCATTGTAAAATATTAACCTTATCCCTGCTAAGCATTTATAAACCAGATTTTTGTATTGGTTAATAGAGTCAGGCAGCAGGGAGAAGGTTAAGGATTGGGCAGAAGGAAAAAAAGCACATTTACCATTGTGAAAATCTCCACACCAAAGGCAGAACTCACTGAAATTTAACCACTTTTTTCTGACAGTAAAAGAGATGTTTGTTCCAAAGGATGAGAAACAGTGGTGATACTTACCAAGGTCATGTTTGCAGACTTGTGCATACAATTTCAGCTTCTTGCCCACTGGTACAGCATCTGATGGACAATTTTATGCAGTTATAGCTCACGTCATTCTTGGCTACTGTACAACTTCAGTTCCGCATAAACTTCATTACTAGGCTAGAGAAAATTAGAATTATAACTTTATAATACTTATACAAATGCATCATCACAAAATATCTGTTTCACAGAATGCCAGTTATCTATCAAGTCCATGTTTAAAAATCTTAGAAGACGACACTGGTAGGAGGGACTGACCGAGTTTGTTGAACCACTCGTCCACGGGTTTGTCCGCCAGCCTCTCTGCCGCAACCTTCCCGACGCGCCGGATCCCGTCACGCAAGACCGTGGTGATTGGACGGTGGCGACCCAGTCTGCAACTCTAATGGATGGAGGAAAAACATTGGGACTTTTAAACGTACGTTAAGACAACAGTATTGTGTAAGGTAGAAGAATGACGGAGCGTGTGTCTGTGTGTGAACACAATTAACTTTATAATACCTGGGTGGATTGTCTTGATATAAGGTATGTGGGTAGGCCTTGATGAGATTTTGGACCCCCTAGCGGCTTATTATGGTACTGTGCCAGAACGTCTGGTTTTAATATCTCTTGATCAGGACATCCTATGGTCACGAATTTTGGATGCCGAATAGCTCTCGTGCTCAGGAAGAAGTGACGTGAGTTTGTGGCAGCTTATTCTCTCTGTGGCACACATATCATTTGGTGAGGAATGTGTTCGCAGATATCTAGTTCATTTTATCATTAGTCCTGTGAATGAAAACAGAATGAAGCTTACCTCATAGACTGTACTCAACTCCCTGAAGAAGGCCTTGGCGTTGCTGAGGATGGTGTCGTTGTCCGGACAGATGACCACGTACACGACATCCCGTGACGTGCCGAACGGCTCCAGCAGGAGCTTCTCCCAGTGGTTGAGCGCGAACGGAGACAGCGAGAGCCAGTCCTTCTCGTAACCAACCAGGAGGGAAGGCACGGGCAGCGGCTCCGAGCTGTTCTCGTCTCCGCCTGGTTTGAAAACATGAAAAGAAATTTTCCTTTGCAGCCAATACAATGCCAAAGCCTTACAAGAGTGTGCTGGCCATGAGAATTACACACAATAGATGTACTTTATAACACTTCATAAAAGTTATGCCTATGTAGTGGTAAATGGTAGTAAATATGCAGGAGTAAGACATGAGATGAAATGAAACTAGTTGAGTGCTTAGGATATTCGTGATTTTCTTATATACAACCTAGGATTCTTCCCACTTTACTTACATTTTGATGCTGTACATAAGAAAATCCAAATATCCTAAGTATGTTCCCAATAAATATTATTTTCGGTAGTTGAGTGCTTGCAAAGTTATGCCAAAGGCTGCACATATAGATCGATGAATACAGGTACAGACAAACCTATGCTATTGTATTGCTCTTACTATAATTGTAATGTCATCTAATATATTTTGAATAGACACTTAGGGAAGACTACATACCTCTGCCCACCAGCCTGTGGAACTGGCTCCAGGTCAGAGGGCCCTGGACGGTAGGTTTGGGCTCCCATAACCTGGTGGTGCGCTTCTTCTGGATGGCGTCCTGGAGGAGCGGCTGCAGTGACTGTAACATCCGCACCACATCACGCGATGACAGGCTACTCTGGTCTACAGCTGGGGGTGAAAAGGCAGGACAAAAAATTGTTAGAGGGACACAATCTGTTTATGATGCTAGGACTGGCATTAGAAGGTTTAGAATTGAGATTTTCTACAAGACATTGAGACTTTCTGCAAGACATCAAGAATTTCTGCAAGACATTGACTGATGATTGAGACTTTCTACAAGACACTGAGACCTTCTACAGGACATTTCTATTTAACTTTATTTTAAAATTTTTACAAGACATTGAGACACCTTTCAAGAAGTCTAGATATTGAGGCTTTCTACAAGACACTGAGACTTTCTACAAGACACAGACTTTCTAGAAGACATTGAAACCTTTTACAAGACACTAAGACCTTCTACAAGACACTGAGGCTTTCTACAAGACATTGAGACCATCTACATGACATTGAGACTTTCTACAAGGGATTGAGACTTTCTACAAGACTTTGAGACAGATATTTCCTTACTAAACTAAAGGAAGATTGGCTCCTTATCCTGTGACATGACAGTAAACTGAAACATCTCACCTTGAGGAGGAGGCCATGTGTGCTGACACACTGCCTTGTCTGCCTGGTCCAGTTTGACTGGGGAGCCGTCGTGACTCCTACCCTGCTCTAACGCCCAGTGGCACGCATCGCAATCATCTAAACAACAATACAGCAAACTGTTAGTTTTGCTATCAATATCATCTTTTCTTTTACAAAACCAAGTCAAGGTTTCCCTTTTCAAAACTCGGCGCAAGGGATCAAAATACTTTTTCCTGCACCGGTGCACATGCACATAACATTGAAAATTACCTGCACCAGACAAATTTTCCAAGCACCACTCAGAATTTTTTCACCTTCATTTATATATAAACCCAGTAATATATACATGTAGACTGGTATAGGTTAAGTGCAGGAAAATACCTAACATAGCTCCAATTTTACCTGCACTAACGTGCATACATGTAGGCAGGTGGTATTTCAAGTCCTATGCAAATCAATTTGGAGGTCGCCCATCTATTTGTCTACCATACTCACCACAGATGGTGACTTCGATTTTCTGCGAAACAACCGCTGGTCTCCGATTGGCCACGATTCTATCCAAGGAATGTGGTGTGGAATACAGGCTCGAACACTGGTCCTGCACAACTTGCAACAACGCTTTGGATATCCTGTTGTTTCCTGCTAATTTCATATTCAGAGTGGCTTTGTCGTCCGTCTTTCCCGACTGCTGGGCGCTACTGTCGCCCTCTCTACTAGTTCTGTTCACCTCGCTCGCGTTATCCTTCAGTCTCTTCACGTTCTTGAAGCCGAAGATCTCACAGAGATCCTCGGGGAACAACCCTGCTTTCCGCGCGTACTTGCGGTTCATGACGGCGCTGAAGCCGCACGTGCACTTGTACTGCGCCTCCTGGTTCTGGGCGTGGAACTCCGGGAGGTACACCTCCACGTCGGCGCCCTTGATGTTCACGTTACACACACAGATCACGCAGCTGTCGAAGTTCCTGTCCTTGAAGAGGTTGATCGCCGAATCCGAGAGAAGCATGTTGACGGTGAGACTGTGGGCCTCCATGGTGGGCCCCACGCTGTTCATATCCACGGAGTTCACGTTTCGGAAGGACGAGACTGTGGAAGGCGGGGAGTCGTACGGCCCCGGGCCCCCCGCACTGCGCGGCGTCTTCACCGAGGCGAAGGCGGGGGAGGCCATGGGGACGCTGTTGCTAGCGGTGACGGTCGTCATGGTAACAGGACAGGTGCTGATCATGTCCTGTGGGAGGGGCATGAGGTCCATGAACCCCCCTGTTGTCGCAGTGGGATAGTCCTTCACAGGCATCTAGAAGACAATCATGATATCAACTTTTACATGTACACTTTACCATCCAAATATACTAGTGAGTCCATAGTAAATGGCAACACATTTCAGACTGACTACACAATGTTTTAAAAGTAATGACCCTGGAAATCAACAAAACTGAAAACAAAGTCAGAGGAAAAGTTTTACTACACCTTACTACTAAAACGGAATTTACAAAATACATTGAATCATTACTTTAGATGCACATTTTTCTCCCAGCCTTCATAGATCATTGTTCATTTTGTCCCTTTGTTTGAATTTTACTTTTACGATGTCTAAGAACTCAGGACATAAAAAGGTAAGGCCTACACATGGGGTGAACTGTTCCCTTCGTACCTGCCATGATGGTTTATACAGCATGTTGTCCTTGAGTCGGATGGGTGGTAACTTGTGACTGGGGAGTGACTTGAGCGGTGCGTACATGGAGGACCCACAGTGGAGATGTGTGTTGGCTTTCCTGTACACGTACGACCAATCCTTGATCTGCTCCGGGACCGGACTACCCATGCTCTCGTCCACCTCGACTTCCGGGTAATCCGCGAGCGCCGTGGCCGCGTGCCCGTCGGGTTTCGTGATCCCCGGTACGGAGTCGGGGCTGGTGTACTCCTGGTTTCCCGCGTTACAGGGCGACAGGGAAGGGTTGACGGACGGAGGTGTTGGAAACATCGTCTGAAGGTTTTGAAGATCAGCTGGCCCTGGACAGGGGGAGGTAAGACGTCTTTGAGACTGCTTGTATTTTCAGAAAGTACCAAATTTTCAGACAAACAAAGAAACCTTCTTTGGTCTTACTTATCCAGTTAAACAAACATGTCTTCACAGTCTGGTATCACAACCCAAAATATGAGTGGTTCTTCTGAGCCTTGTTTTGTGGTGAAAATTGAAGTCAATACTAAAAAGTCTCATTTTTTAATGTGCTTTTTTCCATTTGAGAACAAATGATAGTTGAGTATGTCAGAGGATACAAGCTAATATGAAAAACACTGGTCTTTTTCTTTCTGGGCGTTCACAGCAGAAAAACAAACAAACCAGCTTTTATTCTTCAACAAGGATCAGAGGTAAAGTCTGTTTGTAAAAGGACAAAGCCTTACCAATGTTCCCAGTTCCCCCAGCAAAGACGCCACTCTTGTGCAGATGTGTCTGTGCTGAGTCTTCTGTTGATGCAGCACTGGCGCTTTTCGCACCTCCTGACGTAGACGGACCCTGTATAAAGAACTCGTTATTAGCATTGATTAGCAACAAAATTACCTTATTCATTATTTTTTCTAGTTCTACTTTCGTTTTTTACTTTTTTTGAGAGAGTTTTCATTGTTGCACTGCACTTTCTAAAAAAAATACTTATCGTTCTTTTGATTTCATTGTTCTTTTTCTAGTTCTACTTTCCTTTTCTTTACTTTTCTTGAGAGAGTTCTCATTGTTTTTTTACTTTGTTGAGAGAGTTTTCATTGTTGCCCTGCACTTTCTAGAAAAAGTACTATTTAATTTGGGGACAGGGTGTTTTGAAAAATATGAATTTAAATTTTATCCTTGTGAAATACAACAGTCCAGACTTCAACGTTCAGAAATAACGTACCCCGTCATCGTTGTCTGAGTCAGATGATTCAAAGAGTTGGTCAAGGTCGCTGAAGGTCACGGCCAGGTCTGCCTCTGTGGTCAGGCTGGTGGAGGACACCACCTTCACCGCTGGCTGGGGCGACGACAACTTGGGTTCTACAGAAATAAACATATGGAAAATTAATACATATGAAAATTGTGTATTGCCACATGCATGTTAACATTTAGCTCAAAAGGTAGTTCCACAGACTTTTCCAGGCCGTAGGGGCAGTGGGTTGATGATCAATTGTGTCTTCTTCTTGTTCAATCTTCCTCTGATAAGTTGTAGTCAGTGAAGTTTTGTCTCCAGTACAGTGTGTCTGTCAGTCATTGCGGACAGAAGTTCCGATCCTTGCAGACCAGTTTCAGACTCAATGAGTTTCTTAAGAATTGTGCTTGGACGACCAATCCTCCCTTTTGCATCTGGAGACCAAAGTAGGAGTCGTTCCGCTGGTTCTCTACCACTGTGTCTAGAGCACCGTATGAGAAGGCAGAGCACATCCCTCTCCATCTACCACCTATTGCCTCCCCAGCCAAAGTCAGGTACCTATTTTATACCTGGGTGGCATGAGGAAAGTTAATAATATGTAGACACATTGTATTGCCAGGAATCGAACCTATGACCTCTCGGTCTCCTAACCACTAAGCAATTTGACACCAAAGGATCTTATTTATAACTCTTTTAATTATTCTGTCCAAAAATACTGTACATTAGGAAAAACATGCTTCAAAGTGACAGTACATCCTTACCCTTGTCGCCGGATTTGGCTGGATCGCCCTTGGCTGTCCCAGGCTGGTTCTGTCCCTCGGGACCCTGCTTGTTAGACTGAGAGTCTGTGCTGTTCCTGTCTGACTGGGACGACAGAGACTGCAGACGACCCTTCTTATTGGACTTCCCTCTCGGAGGAAACCCTGGAGTTAGGTACAAATTACTGGGATCATCAAAGACATACATGTAGTCTCCCTGAAGCAGTTATGTCTGTTAAAGACTAATATCGTTTATTACTTTCTACTGGTACAGCAAAACAACTTTGAGAAATTCTACATGTACATTTCTATATTTGCAAGAAAAGATGAGTACTATATTAACATGTTTGAGGACTGGTGGTTTTGTTTTCCCAGTTTTTGCAATTTCCTCCACCAACAATTCATTACACAGTTCTTGTTACTTTGTGCCGATAGCTAGGCATTTTGTATAGCATTGCCTGAGTCTTCTTTTATGTAATGATGTTAAATGTATAGTAGTATACAGTATACTCTTTAACATCTACATGTAAGTGTCAGAAATATGGATAAGATAAAGTAATAATTATTGTAGTATTTTTCTATAGAAATGAAACATTATCAGTGATCGCTGACATTCTAGTAACTGTTATTCTATTTTATAGGGTGCACCCAAAATATTTTGTGTGCTCCCAATTTTTCAGGTTGAGTACACCAGTGCACCTATTCCCAAAAATGAATTTCCAGCCCTGCTCTGTGAAAGCAATTGTAAATGGACTTACTTACTCTGGCATTTTCACTGCGTTGCTACAGTAGTTTCGATCAAGAACTGTTATCCTCCCTACCACGTACCTGTTGGCATAAGGCTGGGAGGTGAGGAGTCCTCCATGAACTCATACGGGTCGATGCCAGGAGAGGTGCGTGCCATCAGACTCCTGGAGGAGGAGTCACTGTGGATGGTGTCCATGGCAGGGTGGATCGGCCGGAACGAGAAATTTGTCTTCATCTTCTTCAGAGGCCTCTCACGTACACCACTGTAAGGAGGGAAGGGGAAGACATTTTATCAAGATTGCTTCAAGATCACTTTCTTTCTTTCAAAGTTTCAAATTACATACTTTCGGTTTGTTTCATTGTATTTCAACACATTCAATTTTTAACAACAATATTAGACAATATCTACAATGTATGGTAATAAAAAACCTGAGGGAACTATATAGTCAGTAACAATTTTACAGTCACAGACTGTTTGATAATAATATAATTGAAATAAAATAATTTGACACAGAATAGACCAAAGGTCATTGACCTCTTTGTTTGAATTTTTGTTTTATGTTCAGCTATTGAGCAAGAGAGGGAGCTCAACTATTGAGGTTCTCAAAAGACAGTGCAATTTGGTCATTAAATTTTGTGGTGCTGTAGCATAATAGGTTGATGCTCCCATGCTGAAAGGTGTCAGCTATTTAAAGATACAGACAGTCCAATCGCATCAGGTCTGGATCGCATAACACATGTCCCCAAAGGTCATTGACCTCTTGTCAGCCATTGGGCTTGTATCAAGCTGTTTTGATTTTGTTGCCAATCCATAAACAGAGTTACAACTTATGCGGAGGTTTGTGTCCAATGGTCTCGCTTACAGATTTTAAATTTCAACTCAACTTTGCAACCTCCTTCCATGTACATTAAAATTAATATTGTGTGTTCTACACATTCTACTATTTTTCTGTTCTACTCAACTTCAGCACTACAACATCTGCTACAGATGTCATCATTTTGTAGAGGTGAGAACCCTTCAAGTTTCAAGGGTCTGATGATCTGAAATGACCCCTCCTTCAAATTAGCCAAGGACTTTGACTATTCATCTACCCATGACGACTGCTGGCTATATTTAGAACTTTGAAGTGCAGTGAGTGATGGCCAGTGGCCTAGCATATGATCTGACTGTTCTATTTTTAGTAGGTACAGGCCATTAAATAAGTGTTGAGTGTTGTTAGGTCAGATGTTAGCACATGTGCCAATCTGGGGAAGAAATTCCACCCCACCCGCCACACATGTTGCCTATTACTTCCATGAATCTGCCAGCTATAAATGGTGGTGTTCTTTGCTTTGGTCTCATTTCTAGGGACAAACAGCATGAGGGAACTGAAGAACAGTTTTTGGCTTCTCGGCAAGTCTGTAAGTCCGTCCGTCTGTCTGTCTACATCTATGTGTGAGAGTATTTGATTTCACTGATTCCTGATGCAAACAATGTAGCAAACATCTTTGGTACAGCTATTTTTTTGTCCAGAAGGGTTGCAAAGCAGTATGGGTAAGGGAATGAAGCCTGCTATCTCTTATCTCCCTATTACAACACGACTAGAAAGCACTAATCCATTAGGAGTTGAAAGAGCAAGGAAACTTTTTGTTTGTTTGTTTGTTTGTTTGTTTGTTTGCCCACGATCATGATAATTCTGGCATACTCATTTCCACCTGAGCAAGGTGAGGAAAGTCGTGTAAAGTGTCTTTTCCAAGGGCACAAGGTTGGTGACTTGGCGGGATTTGAACCCGGGACCTCTTGGTCTGCAGTTACACCATACAACCCCACAATTCTTCTTCACATTTTCTTGACATCATCAGTACAAAGATTGGAAGTTGGAAGGAGGGTTTGCTACTTACAGTGCCGGCCTCACGGTCAAGTCTGGCAAGGTTTCCCCGAAGCTCCCTCTCCCCCGTTTTTCCAATCCCGCGGTGTCAAACACCGTCGGAACGAGCGCCGGTCTGTGAAACTCCTTTCCTGTGTTCACTTTGGGAAGTTTGTAGCATTTCCATCTTCTGTCCTCCTTTTCGCTCTCCGGAGGCAAACCCTTGTACTCGTTAGCTGCTTTCTTCTCCAGTCTTCTCTGAACCTCCGTTACCACCGCCGTGTTGTTCACGAACGGGAGGCTACATTCCCTCTGGGAGGTGACAGTAGGGGGGCCCATGTCGTTTTCCTTCTTTACGATCGGATGCGGGCTTAACGTCGGCATTGTTCTTTCTCCCGGAAGTGAGCTGGACGCCGTCCCGGACGGCGCCACGAGCGGGGAGGGCGCCGCAGAGTGAGACGACTCCACCGAGCCGGGCGTCGGCAGGAAACGCTTGTTATCCACGCCCTGCCCACCCCCTCCGGCTAGTGGTCCCATCCCCAGTCCTAGTCTCTGATTGGTGAAGTTCTCCTGGTCCACGCCCATGTAGGAGTCGACGGAGGGGGTTGGTACGCGGTGGTGGAATGGTGTGAGGGGACGGACCCGGGGCTGCTGCTGTTTCTCCTGTTTCTCTGACTTGTCACTCTGTTTGTGTTTGGAGGAGGTCCCGCCCAGGCTGGTCCAGGCACTGTACGTGTGTTTGGACAGGCCTGAGGAGGAACTGGGCGCAGGGCGGCTGGACCCGTGGCCTGATGACCGCGACTTTACCTTTTGTCTGAAAACAAACAAAGAATTAAGGTTTTATGTCAATCACTGAATCAGGAAAGTGATCTAAATCCAGTTTTAGCCCACTGAAGAGCTAAACTCCTACTGGTTGTGACAGGGAAGACAGATTCTATGCAAAGTATTTACAGGTTCACTGTTTCCCTAGCTCTTCTCAAGTAGTGAGCATGTCAGCTGAGCAACAAAAGCCGGGATTCGAACTCCCAACCTCTTAGTCCAGAGGCAGTGTCGCTGACTACTGGACTATGCATGCTACCACAGTTAGGCCGAAACATAAATAAAAGAGCAACTGCAAACCTCCACACCAAGATATGCTACCCATGACAGTATTGTAACTTTTTAGTCATACAAAAAGATATTTCTTACCTGGAACACTTGCAGTCAACCTTCTGTGTCGGGTCGATGAAGTCCCAGTTTCCGAGATCCGCTCCTATCCCATCATCCCCTGCGTTATTTGCGGCATCCGGGTGCGGTCGTCTGCAAAGTAAAGATACCGTTTTAGCAGGGAAATTGTCATTTGCCCTACATGAAAGTAGTGTTAACTTGAAAGGTGGACAGACAATTTAGATGATGGCTTTATATTTCAACTTGTTAGTAAATAAACAGTCAACTAAAAAGGTAACATTTGCAAAGCAAAATGCGTATTTATGTTTACCTTCGCATATGGTCTGCTCTGTTACTTCTTACTCAAACACATTTACATACATGGTGACAGGAGTCTAAATCCCTCCTACTATAAAATTGTAACATGATGTAACCCAACACCAGTTACCGTGGTGAGAGACAGTCTAGTCATTGACCAGGTCAGAGGTCAGTGTTTGGAATGGAAGAAGAAACAGAGCAACAACAATGTTTTCCTTCAATAAACATAATTATTGATATCACAATTATGGTACAATGTAGATTCACACATCAAGAGTATGATTATGGTAGTTTTATTTCTTCCAAAGGTGCCAAGATATTTCATTTGTTACATCGTGTAGTCCTGACATCACAAATATGGGTACATACTGGATAACAGCTATTCGTGGCTTTGGCTTGAATAACTATGTGTCACATTTCTGGGGCTTGTCCCTGAGCATACTAATTTTCAAGGCCAATTCATATCTCTGATCTGTTCAATGACGTGTTTCTGACAGGGCCAGCAGACAGGGGTAATACATAATTCATACCGGGGACAGAAACTGCAATGGTGAACGAGTATAAATCAGCAAGGGTGGCCAAATACAATTATCAGTGAACCTGTGTATATGATGTGGTTATGGCTACAGAATTCGTAGATGTAGTTTGACGGCCAATCACTGGCTAACCGCAAGCACAAGAGACACTGTAACATATAAAAATTATAGAATAGACAGCCACATAAGGCATGTATACGAGTAGGATTAACTTCTAGTCTTGACCTTTTGGTCTGAAAATCCATAATCCTTTTATTGTACCTAATCTTAAATGTTTAATCCTAGGTGAGTACATACATAGAATCTTGGTCTGTTTGCTATTGTTTTTTTTAATATAAAAGAAAAGCATCAGCTGACTTTTAACTTGAGTGTTCTATGGGAAAATGTTTTAATTTCTAATTCTGTGGCTTTGCCCATCATAAAAAGGTTGCTCCAGCCTACATCGGTTTATGTCTCTGCCCATCACTTGCTCTATACGTGGTCATAACCTTGCACATAATGGCCGTACTTGCTGGGAGTATTGGCCAATAATGTGTTTCGCTGTAATCACCGCTAAAGGTAGCTGGAAAATGCCTGTAGTGGCAGATTTTGAGTGGGCAAGTTTCTCACCGAGCAAGCTTTAATAGTGGGGTAATAATCGTAACTACAAATGCTGGAGAGTGAGGGTTCTTATTTATATCAGTCTGTTGCTCAATGTCGGCCATTTAGGCTCCATGGATTTTGGTACTTCATCCTAGGGTTGTAGCCAGCCTGAATTTTTTTCAATAATTTTTGTTTTTTAATGTAATGCGCAACAATCCTAAGCAGGGGTCGAAGGGGGAAAATTTTGAAATCTTGACACATTTTGGGGGAAAATTTTGCGGGTAGACTAAGCTCTTTAGAAATATCTTTTTTATCCCAATTTTTGTCTGTCAAACATGACAGATAGGACAAAATGTTTGTCCGTCATGAGCAGCAACATTCTGTCAAATGATGGAAGGACGGACGTAATTAACTGTTTTATGTAAACAAATGCAAGAAATCAAGTGTTTATTTTTTTTTATAACAGGTACTCTTTTGTAAGGTAGATTAATCTAGTATGTTTGGTGTTAAATATTGTACTAGATGCTATATGTTGTACCTTGAACGATTATTGTGCAATAAAGTTTATCATTTACTGTGATAAGTCTTTCAAACAGACCTGTTGTAAACCCCTGGTCCCTCCCCAACCCTGCCTAACTCCTACCCTCCCTCCCTCCCTCCCTGACATGCCCGTCTCCCTGTATAATTGCACGGTGGTGGAGCGTAATAAACCACCTCCAACCAACCGTGACAAAACAGCACCCTCTAAATGGTTCCCCTGTAATGTACTTGGTTGACACACGTGGTGTGCCCACCTATAGTGTTATCAGGAAGAGCTGGTCCCAGCACAATTTTTACGACGCAGTTATGAGGATGGATACTATCAAGATATTAAAGAAAACTGTGTCTCGATCTGAGTGAGATTTGTAGAAAAGCGAAAACAAATATGTGGTTTGACATAGCAGCAGTATAAAAGTCAACCCAGTAACTAACGGTGCCCCGATCATGCCGATGGCCAGTGACCACTAAAATTTAAGCTGGGACAACTAAAAAGACAATTTGGGTCATATTTGGGACAATAGAAAAATCATCAACATCAGAATGTCAGCCCTTTTTTCATTTGGCTCCGGAAAAAGCTCCCCCAAATTTCCCGTTCACTCTGCAATTATATGGAAGTCAGAACGTAAGCAAAATAAAGCTGACTTCAAGTTCACTCCCTGAAAAACAAGTTGGGACAGTTCATCCTCACTTCTGGACAATTGAGATTTATTTTCGGGACAATGCTGGGACAATAGGAAAAATTTTAATTTCCGGGCCTGCAACCTCTCAAATCATTTGTCATTTCCGCCACCTGACATTTTAAGGCCTCATGTTTCACATTGCAACAGTGACACCTAGCTGTAGTGTGAGGTAGAGCCACTAGTCAGTATTGCCCTGAGGAAGGTGACAGATGGCTATCAAAATCTCGGCAAGGATGAACACTTGTGTACAAAGCACTAATGTTATCCAGTGATTTACCGGCTAGATGTAACTACTCATGGCTGTTTGATAAAGCTTTCTAATATCAGACATGACGTTAACATTTACGTGTGATGAATTAATAAAGATCAATAAATTATGTCGAAATTATTTCCGCTGCTATTCAATATAATCGGGGTGGTGAAAGATTCAATACGCTTGTTTCCTCGCCAGTCAGAGAACACTTGCTGCTTCTCTAACCGCGATTCCTGCGAGAGTTACCGCCTTGTCGGAGCGAAACAATCTGCCAATCTCCTCGGTGGCCCTCCCTCCCGCCCAGAGCTCACCAAAATTCATGCCCTACACGCTTCAACACCCCAGCCAATGCATAAATTACCCCGGGCGACAACAGCCTGCTTATAACTAATGTGGCCGCGAGCTCGGCTAAACGACGATAAATCTCCGCCGGGGTGACGGCGATGGGTGCAGCTCGCGGGAAAACCGTCCCGGGGACGTCGCGAGCGGATCACGACGAGTCGCGGGAGATGGATTGCCGCGCGCCAGCGAACCCTGCCAGCAGCCTGACATTTCACATTTGGGAAAATGAGGAACGGGTATATTAGATTTGCTTAGAAAATTGTTTTGTCAAAGTGTAATAAACGGGAGGTTGGACAATTCATAACGGGCTCCAATGGACCCAGTTGCATTGTAAATACCCCGCGGGGGGAGGGGCTGTCAAGCCTGCCTTATTGGGGGCCAATGGAGGATTTTCTCAAGTCCAAGACATATCGGAACATTACAGTTTAGAAGAAGGCCTGAGAACTCAACTATATATCACATCTATAGCTCGGCTGAATGAAAACTACCCAACCAAAGGCCCTGGTTTGTCCTATTTATTCAAACCGATTTTATCATTTTGTTGCACAAAAT